TTGTAGTATAACAATATAAAAGTCTAATTAAAGTAACCTATAACTATACTAAACTATAAGGTTACTCAAAAAGCTTATTTGCAAATGGCACGATATTTTTCGTAACAGCATACGTTACTCTTCTATTCATCTAAAAACGAAAATGTTATTTGAGTGTAATTAAATTGATCTTTAATAAACAGATCAAGTCATTACATGCGAATAGTGATGGCCGATAACCTAAGTCATACCATTTTTTTGATATGACCTTGGTCATATAACAGTGTATTAAAAAAAGTCATAAGTCATATTATCACAAAGGTCACATAGATCAGTGAACGCACCTACTTACAGAATCATGATTTCAAGATCTCGTGCATATGCAATAAAGGATGCAGATTATCATACTTTTTAGTATAATGCATACAAAATTAAGACATCCAATCAGAATCAAGATTTTGTAGACGAACGCAAAACTCGAATTGAACCATACACTCCGTTCCACTACGTTCCTGGTATAAACTTTCATTCTCATGTGATCAGTATTATCAGCCAATCAAATCAAAGTACTCCAAACAGCAATATATTATAAAGCGTTTATATAACGATAACGATGGGTGTTTGATCGACTAATTGTGTCAAAGATATGTAAAGACCCCTAATTAAACAAATTATAACAGTTTTTTCTATGATTGTATTGTTACATGAACGAATACCACTTTTTAATATGAATTTACTATATGAACGTAATGAATGTTCAAAATCTAACTTCTCTTTTATTATTAGTTATTTGAATATAAAAGTAATAAAAAATAGATTAAAAAGGTATGCTTTTTAATTTGTCATGTGGGTTTTTTTTGGGAACTTAAAATTTAATTTTTTTTTCTAATATCTCTTAGCAATTCATATGACTTAAAAGAATAAATTTGTAAATAACTTGTGTTATATCTTAAATATTGAAATTTTGACACGAGAGTTCAAAGTATTGGTTATAACGCATTGATTAATGTATTTACCTTTTACAATCAATTAATAAATTAACAACTAGATAGCTAAATTGCAAGAATAAATCAACCGTGTTAAAGTTAGGGTTACTTTTTTGATGCAGTTAGTGTTACGATTTATATATGGATATCAATAATACAATTTATGTAGTATGTAGATCAATAACATTATTTCAATTATACCAATTTGATAGGGGATTATACATAGTATGTTGACCAAACACCCCAACGATAACGATAGACATACCCTAACAATATAGACTAGTATAAACTCCGAAAGCAAGAATTCCGAAAGTCATGTAAACTTTGAATAAATAGAGTCATTCATCTTGTTTGGCACCTTTAGACTTGTATAAAGTTTTGCCTTGATAATTTTTATATATAATATTTATTATCGAGAAAACACGTTTTTATTTCCAGTTATTTATTCTATATCTGATATTAAACTATTTATAGATAATCTTGAAGAATTAGTGGGATTACACGTAGATTGGCAATTTGAAAATAATAAAGCTCAAGTAGTTCAATTACATGGAACTCTTGAAAAGTTACAATGTAAAGTTTGCACAAATATTTATGAGTTTACGCTGCAACATTGTGAAATTTTCAAGCAAGGTAAAGCGCCAAAATGTACCAGATGTGAAGAGAAAGGTAAGTATATAATTTTTTTTATCAATTAGATTTAAAGATTAATTATTTTACTTCAATAATAAAAAATTTTCGGATCAAGCAAGGAAAGCGTCCTCATACAATTGGACAGCTAAACCCGACAATAATCCTGTACGGTGATTCACATCATAAAGGATTGGAAATTAATCAAATCGCAGTACAAGATCAGCATAAAGCTGATTGTTTGATTATAATTGGAACTTCTTTAAGAATTCCTGGAGTCAAAACTCTAATAAAAGACTTTGCTAGAGCGGTTCATGACCGTAATGGTTACAGATGTAGTTACTAAAGAATGGAATAGCTTAATTGACTTTCAAATAGAAGGTGCTTGCGATGAGTGGGTTGAACTTGTTAACATAGAATTATCAAATGTCAAAAAAATAGAGCTACAAGATCATCAAAAAATTAATTGAATAAAATAACGAAATCCAAGTAGAAAAAAAAAGAAAGAGAGAAAAGAATGTTGAAGCTAAAAATAAAATTCTTAAAAATTTTTAATTTGGTTAATTCAATAATGTATACATATAAAGAATTATTCTACGATTAAACAAAGTAAATAAAGATCACATAAGCATAACCGATTCCAGCAAGAATTTCTTAGATTTCACCAAAAACCTATTATAAAAATGCGTAAATTAAAATCGGCAGCAACATTCTTTTGGCGACACTCATATGTATATCCTTTGTATTTTTATTAAAATACACAATTTAAATTTCCAAAAAAATATTATTTACAAATTGTTAGAAAAAAATATCAAGACGATTCGATAGATATCAAAATATTTTCCACCAATTTTATAATTAATATATGGGGCCCGCCACAGCAAAAGGGGGCAGTGGGCCAACCAATCAGTTTTGGAGATTTTATAATAATAATTTGCTTATAAGTTTTATCTTTCTAAAAATATTTTTAGTTTGTAAAATTTACTAATAACAAAAGTGACTTAAATCATGATTTTCTCAAAATCACATAATTGTCCCACTGCCCCTTTTTGCTACGGGTGGTCCCATATATTAAATAAGTAAATTTATTGAAACAAATAAGAAAAAAAAGTCAAAAATATTATGTTTTTTTATAAGAAAAGTAATGTATAGGTTCAAAAACTAAAGTCGAGTTTTTCATTTCTTCTTTGATTTTATGAACGTGGGATTCAATTTTTCCTTTTTTAGCTGTTACCTTTGTTAAATTCTTGCCTAATCTATTGCATTCTACATCTTCAATACAATGTCTGTTTTTTCTTCAGGATTTTGTAAAACAACTGTAGCAAAATTTGCTTTTATTTGTTTATCAGATTGTTCAAGAATATATCGCTTTTGAAATCTGAAACTTGCAATTATATTTCTTCTAAATAAAATACTAGAGATAAATCTATTTTTATCTCTGTATATACAAGAATGGATAGTTTTATATTTAGGCATTTTTAGTAAAGCTATAAGATTGTATGAAAATTGAATCTTGTATAGCGAGGATTTTAATGTAAAGTTTTAAGATTGTATAAAAAAAGATATTTTGACAAGCATGGTTAACTCTGGGATAAAAGCATATTTAAGATTGAAAGGGTATCTGATATCTGGATTCTTTATAATAATTTACTTATTTTTTATATATTAATTAACAAAAACTGATAATATTAAACGTATTACAAATTGTTCATGTAAAGAACATATATATTTGGTTGTTCTATATTTAAGTCAACAACTAACTCATGATTTAGGTATAGATATTACACGTAATTTGTCATGTTTCAAATTTGTCAACGCCTTATCAGTTACTCGTTGGCAAAGCTATAATAAAATTGTCCCAAATTCCAATAGTTTTGCCAACAAGTATACTCATCGGTGAATTGAACACGTAAGAAATTAAACTTTTGCTTTAACATTAATGTTCAAAAAGTTTCAAAATTTCATTGTTGAGAAATGCCATAAATATTTCTCAAAAAATCCCAATCTACTTCACTCAATTTACTTTGCTTCAAAATGTATTGAGTCTTTAGGATAATAAATTTATCTTATTTTGTTGCCTTGAAATTTTTGAATTCTTTTGTTTCAACCATATAGGGGTTACCTTCATATTAATTAAAATTATAAAATATAATTTTTGAATACTTAAGGCACGAATACAAGACTAGATTTTTGAATAGGAATTAAATAGTCATATATAAAAGAATGAAACTTTTCTATTTGTAATTTGTTATCATTTATGTCAGTACTGTCAATAAAGAATTGAAGCCAAGAATTGACTAAACTTGGCTTAATTTTTTCTAATATTTCTATAAGTCTTCTAATTTCTAAATATAATATTAAACCTCTTTTGTCAAATTTTTCTTCACGAGTCATGTTATCAAATTTAAAATTTAATATTTCCCATTTATCATAATTCGTTTCTTTTAATGAAAAATTATTCGTTTTAGTTTTGGTTTTTTCTACTATTGATTGATACTTTTGGAAATTATTGTTGTTATTCAGCTCATTTACTGCGACATTCGTTTCGTTCACTGCGAAATTCGTTTTATTTACTGACTCTTCATTGTATAATACATGAATAAATTCATCTTCAGTTAGGCATTCGTTGAAGACTTCTTGAGTGAATTCAGTTTTGGACAAATTGATAATTAAATAGCAAATAAATAAAAATGTTACAAGGCAAAAGATATTGAAGAAATCCATTTTGCAATTTATTTTTGAGAAATGCGATTTCGCACAGCCTAAAGGTACTTCTAATGATTTTAAATAAATTCATCGAAATTTAAACTCTGCATAACTAATTCTCATGCATAATAATTGTAAGAAACTTGTTAATGATTCAAAAAAAAAAAAATAGAGAAATTTTTTACATTTACTTGAGACCTGATTTTTGCAAATGTGCATTATCGCTCAGCATTTTGGGGCTTAGCACGCGAATTTTCTTTATTATTATGAAAAAAAACTTGATTATTTAAAAAAAAAAGAATTTTTTTTACATTTTCTCAAGACCTTGATTTTTCACAAATATGCATTATCACGCAGTATTTTTGAGGCTTAGCACACGTATTAAAACGCGTCGGTTCTATTATCTTACCAATCCTAATTAAGCAATTAATTGAGTTTACAAATTTAACTTTAATTGTATAAATATATTAAAATTCAGAACCGAATTTATTTTAACATAATAAATTCGGTATCATTATTCAATTTACATATCATCACATGTTGTAATTATTAGTATAACTGAACTGGACATACAAATATACGTATTTATTTTAAACAAGTATGTTGTATTATATACATTGTATTATAATACAATAATAAATTCTAATGCTAACACTAAATGCACATGATGCTTAAAACCAGTATTAAAATAAATTATTATATTTATATCTTGCAGCAAATATTAAAATTGTACTGTACTGCAGTGTTGGCACATGACCAGGTCATAACAGGTCATATTACTAAGTTCAATTAGTGAAGTCATATGACTGAGGTCAT